TGTGCTGGCAGTCATTGGGATCTGTATAGCTATACAAACCTTGCTTTTTTTATAAAGACTTAAATATATTCGGAAATTTAGAATTTGGCTTGATAAATTCACAAAATTTACGGTTTTCATAAATAATTTAATCTTACAATGGACTTTTTTTTATTTTAAACTTACATTTAAGAAAACTCCATTCAATGCTATAATTACGATTTGAGTTTTCCAGTTTATAAAACACAAGCGTTATTTATGTACTTAACTTTTGATATTATTCTTCATTACGCATGAATATCAGCATACATTAAAGATGAATATTATACTTAGGCTGTGTGCGAGTTTACCTAAATTTTAGTACCTAAACTAATATTCCACTGGGAATTTCCAGCACTGCTACAATTTAGGAAAACAGGTGCTAAAACCATGATACAAAAAAGAAGGTAGTTTCATTGTCACTTTTCGGACGCCATATTAACTACCTGACAATTAAGCAGATTGTGACATTTCGTGCTGCCATACCTAGTCATCAATAATCATTTATTTATTTTGAAAAAATTATTTACAAAATTAAAAGGAATTTGTCTTCGATCTGAGCAATAACGAAAATGGAAATTCATACATCGCCATATTTAAGAAACAACCAACCAACTTTGTCTTTGAAACAAAAGACTGCTAAATATGTTGTCCACCGCAAAAATTAGTTATTATTAAATTCGTTTATTCTAAAGCCAATCACAGAAAAGGATTTGGATGTGCTTTGCAGTAAGGCTTTAATTTCGGTGCTTCATGATATGAAAGATAATATGATTATGGACGTGAGGAGCTATTCCCGATTGAACTGGCATCCAGAGTTTGGAAGTAAGTAGTTAGAGGGTAGCCCAATGCCTTAAGTGCAGCTTGTCTGTCCCCGCAGACATCTAAACTCATTCCCCTCCAGCTCGCCCCACACAGTGTTATACCGGCATCCGTTTCTTTCTAGTCTGCAGGTGGCCTTTAAGGCTTCCCTACGTATGAAGAAACAAAGTGACGGTAAGTGCAGCAGCGCATCCAGAGCAGCGCCGCGTGTTGTAGAGAAAGCTTCCGTACAGCACACGGCAGTAGTTCTTTGAAGTTTTGCAAGCAGACTTTCCATGCCCTTGATTGAGAATCTGCTCCACCATACCTGTTTACATTGCAAAAATGCTGCCAATTCTTTAGAGTTTTTGTGTTCCACGTTAGATTTCCACGATAGTTTCGTATACAGAATTACTTCTAGATACTTCACTTCGGGAGAACTCTGAATTTTGGCTCCTTTAACCTTCCATTCAACCTTCTCCGAAGCCTGGTTTCGGACTATGCTTTAATGACGAAATAGCTAACAGTACGTCTTTTTCGGACTATTAAAAAAAGAGTTTTGTTATGTAAATATATTTATTTTGCTTAAAATAAAATGAAAAAAAAGTTTTTTAATGAATAAATGTTTCAAAACTGGATTTTATTTTATTATTATTATTATATCTCTGCACATCGATATTATTCAAAGGGTCTTTTAAACGCCTGAGAACAACGTTCAAATTTGACTGTAGAACACATTAACTTCTAATTTTTTATGCACATTTTACTCTTTTATTAAATCCCAAATATTTAAAAGAAAATCTCCCTCTCAAAAAATTTCAATGTGGCAAAGCTATGCTTAATGTTTACATCTGGAGAAATGTCAAAAATCTGCTTTATAATCAAAAAATAGTGTAATGAAACTACCTTCTTTTTTGTATCATGGCTAAAACTGCGCGTGTTCGTTCGACAACCTAAATTGTTGCTTTTAATAAATATATCTATAAAATGAATAATTTTGCGGTAGCTTTGGGACTATTTAACAATATAATAAATTTGCAACAGAAAAGGAGAATGTTCCATCCTGGCATCTATAAAAGAATCCGTTTGCTCTTCTGACCCTGAATGCAAAAATCAAATAAATTTGTACTTACATCTTTCCGAATATTTTCTTTTTTGTGCCATAGCAATGATACAAATTATTTAAAACATCAAAAAATCGTTGTTCACTTAATCGCTCGCTCAAATATATTTGACTGTTCAATTTAGGTTGAAAAGTATGCTCGCAGAAAATCTAAATTGTTCCTCTTCACTGCGTTACCGACACTTTCCAGTGATTTAGGATTTTTCTCTATTTAGGTAGCAATTTAGACGTACTCGCACACAGCCTTAACCTACATTTTGTTCATAAATAACACATATGTAATTGTGTATATTTTATCCTCGAAATGCATGATTCAATAATACAAGGTTCGATAAACTGACAGTTGTCTCTCTCGCACCACTCCCTTAGCAGTGGCACCGTGTTGCTTCTTTGCAAATTTACATGGAAACAGTGTAGCTTTGGTGTGAAATAAAAGTATAAGCTTTTGTGCAATATGTTTATTTGTATATGCATATGAAGCATATTTAACTGATAAAAACCTAAGCATTGGATGTTTACATCAATCTCATAGTAGTCTTATTTTAATTTTGAGTCATTTTGCAGTTTTTATACGGCTAAATAGCATATAAATTACGTAATTCACGTGGATATATCAATATTACGTTCATCGTTTAAAATGCCAGATTTCCTGCAAATACATTAGAATTTACGAAAGGAATTTCCTACTAATTGCCTACTTTGCGTACTTTTCTACTACCGTTTTCGAAACAAGGGATTGCATTCTTGCCCTTTCTCTGTCCTTCGTAAATACAGCCTTTTGTAAGGGAGTGTCAAACCGCAGCTGTCAATAATTATCTAACCTTGTATTATTGAATCATGCTCGAAATGTACTTTTTCTAATCGTGAGGCGAAATTCCCCACAGTAAGTGTTACCGTGCGCGCAAAACGAACACGCTGCACACAATCCAAAAGTACTCCTCGGGGACCAAATGGTGAAAAACTACGAAAAGGTTTATTACTGTATATACTGTGTTTCGAAAAGGTTTATTACTGTATATACTGTGTTTCTTCCATCTCACGCTGACTCGGGCACGCAACATAAAGCGCTATAATACTTATTTTGTTTTTATGTCTCTTTACATAAAAGCGCGTATTCATAGTCCAGCCACTAAGTCGAAACTAATAAAGTTGCAACCTAAATTTAAGTACCAACTTAAAATTCACTTCTATTTATAGTTGCGTTTCAGACTTCTACTAAGTAGTTTTAACTTAGTTTTACGATATTGCAAAACGAGTGTGAAAATGTATCGATTTTTCTATACGATATTTTGGAAAAATTACATTTTTAATAAATAATATTAAGTTTGCTCATCCTTTTATGTAATTTTTACTTTCATTGCATGCTTTTGCAAAAGAATAAGGTATAAGTTTCTTGTTAATTGTGTGAAATTGCCAGAACTACCGCAATGATGTAAGGTCGATGTTTATCGAAAGCATGCTGTGAAATATACAAACACATATCTAAATGTAATGCACTAAGTTGCTTTAAACGAACAAGCTTGAAATTGTCTTATTATTTGAGCATTTATATATGTAAATCATTCCAATTATAAAATTGTGATGCATCCTTATTCGATTTGTAATACGCATTTAATTTCATCTTCCGATTCAAATGGATCGCTCTTTTTAAATTTCAACTTGAGATCACTCAATATTATCAAAATCAGGCTCTGCGAACTTATCTTTTAAATATTTCGTCTTTTTTTCCTTAATTTAATAAAATACTTCTTCCTAGTTACGACTTAATTGCAGCTTCAGCCGAAACTAAATTTTAAGTTGGTACTTAGCCAGAAAAGTCGAAATTAAGGCGACTATGAATAGCTTTAGTTGTAACTTAGGATAGTTTCGACTTAGTTGTGAACTAAATGTGACTATGAATATGCGCCATTGGATTTATCACTGTTTAGACACAGTTCATTTCTCTTCGCCCATGCAAAGATGGATGTAAAGTCATTATTAAGCCTTGTCTCTGTGGTCACCATCAGAGCGGCCGCTGTGGTGTAGTGGTAAGCAGTGCGCGCTTCCACTCCGCAGCACCTGGGTTCAAGCCCTGGTCAAAGCAACATCGCAAAAGAATTTAGAAGAGGTTTTTTCTTAACAGCGGTCGCCCCTCGGCAGGCAATGGCAAACCTCCGAGTGTATTTCTGCCATGAAAAACAGCTTCTCATTAAAATACAGTCGCCGTTCGGAGTCGGCGTAAAACTGTAGGTCCCTCCACTTTGTGCGACAACATCAAGGCGCACGCCACGAATCGGAGGAGAAGCTCGGCCAAACACTAACATGTATGTAAGCGCCAATCTATTATTATTATTATTACAGAGGTCACCTGTTTCCTCATTATTTCCAGACAGGTATAGTTGGATGTCATCCGCATATGCATGCATATATACATGAAGGCATGCAGAAAATATGTAATTTATAAAAAGACTGAACAGTAGTGGACCCAGGATAGAGCCTTCGGGTACACCAGCTAGCAGTGGTTTAAGACCAGAGGTATTAGTTCCAATTTTGACACACTGAGTTCCACCCGATAAGTAGCTCCGCAGTAAAAGTCAGTTGGCTTTTGTCGAAAGGTCCTCTAATGTCATCTAAGGATTTTAAGATTGCCGTGGAGCAGCTATGCTTTGCTCTCAAGACTGACTGAAACGGGGTATGGTAATGAGTTTGTTCAGACATCAATAACTCGAAGACTTTAGAGAGTGCGGGTAAGATACTAATAGGTCGAAAATCATTATGATTACACGCTGCCTTGGTTTTAGCAACTGGTGGAACCGTGCCAACTTTCCACGCATCAGGGAAACATGATGTTGTGATACTCAGGTAGGTTCTGGTATCCGAGTGAAAGTGAATTTGGAAATGAATCCAAATCCGAGTGAATTTAATTTTGGTGTTCTGGAAACCGAAAAATTTGTTCATTTTCGCACTCGGATTGCATTCACCCTAATAATAAACTTTACATCTGACATCTGCCAATTTAACACAATCTAACAAACTTTTAGCAAGCAAAGTTGTCAGTTAAACACAAATAAATAACAAAGATTTAAATGAAAAACTAAAAATGAGTGCTTTAATTGCGTTTGCTACCATATTTATGGAAACTGAGGAGCATGCAGAAGAAGCCCTTAATAGAAGAATACTGCGGGAGCATTCCAATCGATTAGAGGTTCCTGAATCGGTGTAAGTATGTAATATTTGCAAGAAGTTCAAATGTTCAACAAATTTCGTAGTTTCGTGGTCGAATTCAGAGTCAACAAAGATGCCTTTATTATGCTGTTGAACGTTGTTGACCCTCACATAAAAGGCACATCCATTCCAACGCAACTGCAACTGGTAGCTACTTTGAGATTCTTAGCTGAAGGCGGTTTTCAGAAAGTAGTGGGAAAAGATAGCTACATTGCAATGGGGCGAAGTACGGTGGCTAAAGTAACAAAACGACTGCTCAAAATTTTAGAAAGGCATTTATGTCCACATTGGATTGACGGAAGATGAGCTGGCTAAATCGAAACAACATTTCCAGCAAAAATTTGGCATTCCGGGGGTTATTGGATGTATAGTCGGAACGCATATACAAATAACAAAGCCACATAAAGAGCACAGTCTTTTTTATAACTGAAAAGGATATTTTAGTATCAATGCAATGATCGTAAGTGTTGTAACTTTTGAAGAAAATGATTCTCTGTGTATTTGAGCTAAATGGTTGAAACCATTTGTTTTAGATTTGTGACTACAATATGGTTATCAAAGCACTTGATGTTCGCCGCCCCGGATCAAGCCATGACGCTTTAATTTGGAGTGTTAGTAGAGCTCAGGACTATTCCCAGCGGCGATACGAAAACGGAGATCGGTCTTGGCTCTTGGGTGATGCTGGTTATGCTCTTCAACCATATTTGCTAACACCATACCGAGACCCACATGTTGGCACAGCACATCATACTTTTAATCAAAAACATTCTTCGACACGCAACGTTGTTGAGAGAACGATAGGTGTTTTAAAAAGCCTGTTTAGATGCCTAGCTCGCTGTCTTCAATACCAACCACAAAAGGTGGTACAAATAGCAAATGTTTGCTGCGCTTTGCATAATGTTTGCAAACACTACAAAGTGCGAGAGTTAATTGAGTTTGACATTGAAGACGATGAAAATGAATCTGCTGTTGCTGAGGAATTATTAACCGAGTCTACACTTGATGAGGCGATAATGATACGAGAGAATATAGCCACTCACCTTCATACAAATACCTGAAAATTTAATTCATCTCCTTAAATAAAACAACATTTATATTTAAAATAAAATATAGTTCACTTTTTATTGAAACAAAAGTTAAATTTCCTATTAAAAAAAATAACATATGTACATTAAAAAACTATTTACAAAAAATATTTACAGATAATTATTTACAGATAGATATTTACATAAAACTGGATATTTACAAAGGTGGAGAGTGTATCTAATTACTTGATTTGGAGTGGTATTTCAAGTACATTTTTAACTCCTCTAACTCACACTCTTTTGTGTTTGAGCTCATTCTCCGTGTGACGCAGCCTCTCCATTCGGAGATGGTTCCTTTTTTTCTCCTGATTACCTTCTTGTATTGCAACTGTCATTTCATTCACAGCTTCGCATAGAATTTGTATGCCGGTGCTTACTTAGTTTGTGGCGTCTACATTGTCCTGCAATCCATCAACCAAACTTTTCATGGCACTTGTCTGCTCCCCAATATTAGTCTTAAGCTGGGATCACACGAGTTGTACATTTGGCTAAAAATTTGTCAAATTCATAGACAAATCATGTGAACGCTAAATTACATTTGTCATTTATCAGAAAAGCCAAATATTTGCCTTCTTGTGGCAAATGAAAAACAACCCTGGTGGCCAAATCGTGTGAACGCAATGCTGCTACATAAGCCAAATAAAAATTATGCAAATGACCAAATATCTGATTTGCCACTTGATGACAAATGCCAGTGACAAATATACAAATATTGTTGAGCGGTATTGCCATTTCGTGCTTGTGAACCTTTGTATTTTCCAATTTTGGTAAAATTTTAATATAATATTCGTATCCGAAAACTATCGAAAAATATCACGTTATTTGAAAACAATAATTTTAAAATATTTGCTCAAACTGAACATTTGAAAAGTTCGACAGTAGCTGAGTGTGCAGAGAAGCGTGCAACTATTTGTAACCTTCATGAGGTTCCAGGTTCTTATGCCGGCAGACGAACATATTAAAAGTGTATGTAATTAATTTCTGAGTATAATTAACTATGAAAAAGCATATTTGAAGTTCAGAATGAAAAATTTCAGATAACCAACCGGAAAAGTATTCGTTTCACACCCCTTCGAGGCACTTTACTATTCACCTTTCTTTCAGTTTTCGGATCTCTTTCCGCAGTTTTTGCTGGCTATACACATATACATACATGCATATCGTCGTATAAAGTACAAAACCGCGTATCGTCATTCTGCAAAATCACGTAACTGACATTTGCTGCCAAAAATTGAATTTGCTTCCAGAAGCTGTTGGCTCAATCCTTATCCATTCGTCTTGAAATATACTATCCAGAAATGCGATTGCTTTATAAAAAAGAGAACCATTTTGAAATATGAGTGTTTTTACTATCTAGATAATAATTTATGCAACCTCACATAGGCGGCTTCGTATTTTGTTGGTACGCGGTTTTGTACTTTAAACGACGATATACAGATTATTAACGGCGATCTAAATTACACTGGGTGACAAAAAAAAATTTATATAGTTTCACACTTGTTGTAGGTCTATTCAAGCAGTAAAATCTGCATACTCAGAATTTTAAATACACCCTCAAAATCTAGACTTAAGGTCAAAAACCGCGTTTTTCAAAGGGTGACGCACAGGTATACTTGCTCGTAACTTTATTTCTGTTTACCCAGTGAAAAATACGTATTTATGTATGTGATTCAAGATAAGACATTTCGCTGCTTACAACAATGTTTAAATTGATAATTTATCTTAAGAAATGGCAAAGGAATCAGTGATCGGACTAAAAAAAATTTGTGTGGTAGAATCTAAAAAAAAAATGTGGTAGATTTCAAAAAAATTTGGTAGATCTCAGGTTTTGGATCAAACTTTGTACAAAAATTAAAAAAAATCTGCAAGGTTTCTCCTAAATTGCAAACATTTTAATTAGAATATAAAACAAAATTAATTTTAGTATAATAAAGTGCAAGATTGAACTTGATAAAAATTGCGTTGGTTTTGGCAATTTTTTTCCTTGACAGTTTCGAACATATTTTGAAAGATTTCTGCAACCTTGCAGAGTGCTGCCAGCTTTTCTTTTTATCACATCACGATGTAGCGAACAAATGTGGCTCGTTCCAGAAATGCTACTTGTTATTTGCCGATTTTGACAATTCTCAAGTAAAAGTAAACAACGCTTTAGAAATTTGAGATGCACTGAAATTTGCTAATGCTTTCACAAAAATCGCCGGTTTTTATCATTTTCGCTATTAATTCTTTTTATAAATCATATATTTTGCAATTTAACACAATAAAACCATGTTGATGTCGTAAAATTGAATAGTGAGAAAATTTACTATTTTACAGTTTATTTTATCCTCCCATTCTGCCTGTTGTTAGTGTTTAGTGTTGGACAATTTTTGCTCTTAAAATTAAGAAAATTAAGTTGAGCAAAAATAAAACTACTCAAAAACGCGAATATGTGGTAGATTTCAGACCTTGTGTGGTAGGTGTGCTCAAAAAAGTGGCAGATCTACAACAATGTGGTAGAAGTCCGATCACTGATTCCTTACAGAGTATATCGATGGCTGAGTGGAAGATCGACCTATCTCGGCAACCAATGCGAAAACGCCCTATCTCAGAAAATTATTTAACAACGCGCTATCTCAGAATACTCAGAATAAGTATTTTTCCTCGGACAAACAGTCAAATGTCAAGTGAGTAGGACGTGTTTGTGCGGTGCTCCTGAGTTTTCACATATTTTGCGTGTGTTACACTGATATTTTCCATTTATTGATTTGGTGCTACACCGCGTGCGCTTCTGATACGAATTGTTTCCGATCAGCTTTATACCTGAGACTCATTGTCTTTCGCACCTGAATATGCAATCAACGCGCAAGAATTCACGCAAACCACCAACCTCACCAAAAACTCCGCTTACTCCCTCATCCACTATCGTTGATAAAGTTGAGCGAAAAATTGACGAGCTGAGAACCACCGTTGTCGCAGAGTTGACTGATGTAATGAAAAAAATCCGAGGAAAGGGTAATGCAGAAAATTGGTGAGTTAGCTGCAGAAACTGCAAATTTAAAGATGTGCATAGCAGAAATTGAGAAGAGAGTGACAAAAGTTGAGATTACGTGTGCTGACGTTCTAACCCTACGCAGTGAACTAGTTGCTGCTCGGGTAAAACTCGGAGAGCTTGAAAGCAGCGCAGTAGCCACTGATGTCATTATCAACGGTATACCCCAAGCAGCTAATGAGAACCTCTCTGGTGTATTCTCTAAAGTCTGCGATGCTGTTCAGCACAAAACTCCGCCGCTGCGTGATGTTTTTCGACTGCGAAAAGCAAAAACCATTGCGCAGAAAAATAACAATCATGCGCCCATAATTGTTAAGTTGTTCTCTGCACACGATCGAAGTCAACTATTCAAATCAATTGCTGCCTTCTGCAAATCGAAGAAGAGGTCGCTTTCACTTGCCGATATTGAACAGCCTGGGTATGGAAAGATTCATGTGCATGAGAGCCTGCCTACTACATTGCGGGAAGTAATGTCGTATGCTTCTGAGCTAAAGAGAAAGAAGGTACTGGCGTCAGCACTCTCCATCCGCGGTAATGTCTTTGTGAGGTTAAAGCCAAAAGAAGAGCCCAAAATTGTGAAAACGAGAGCCGAATTAAATGCTCTTATTAGTACTAGTAAAACGTAATTGTGGACTTTAAAAATCATTGCGTTACATACATATGTTTTTTATTTTTTTTTCTCTTCTCATTATGCTTAGTTTTTATTGTAAGTTAGGCTCAAATTGTATATTCTCTTACCTTCTCTTTATTCCCTTTCTCTTCCATATAATCTGCTCTAGCTTAACCTCAGCTACCTCCATATATTTTATCTCGTCTGTATGTATTCACTGCCAATTTGAGGTGCAAAGCACAATGTTTGAATATTATGACTGGCCATGAATCAGTTTTTGGCTCTAATGATTTAAACTTAAAAACGACTTTGAAATTAGTAAGTGATTATCATCCCGGATTTCAGGTATGCCACTTAAATGCCAGAAGTTTAAATGAAACCAAACTCGATTACTTGAATTATATTTTTGAGACTACTAATATTGACGTTGTATGTGTGACAGAGACATGGTTTCGGAATGACCATGACGATTGCTTATATAATTTATGCAACTTTGCTTTGGTGAGGAATGATAGACATTGTGACAAGCGAGGAGGCGGTATTGCGATATATCATAAAGGTTCAATGCAGTCTAAAATTGTGCATAAGTCTGATCCCCTGGATAGTGTAGAATATCTAATGGTTGAGTTTGCTGATAAATTACAACGCTGCCTTCTGGTTTGTGTATATAACCCTTGCAAGTATTTTGATTTAAGCAAATTATTTTCAAATGTATCTAAATATAGTGCAATCTATGAACACATTTTTCTGTGTGGTGACTTAAATATTGATTTGCTTGCGAAAAACGAACGTGCTAGTAATTTATTAGACAATATGTCAAGCGTCGGGTTAAATGTAATAAATAAATTTCCTACTCGTTTTGGTCCTCATTGTAAACCTAGCTTACTTGATTTGTTTTGCGTCTCCAATATGTACTGTGCCTTGCACTTTGAGCAGCTCTCGTTGAGTGGTATAAGTGATCACGATTTACTTTTTCTGTGCTATCATTTAAAGTTTAGTGCCCCCCTCAGTCCGTCACCTGATTTGCTGTATTTTAGAGACTTTAATAGAATAAATATAAATAACTTAGCAGCTGAAGCTTCCGCTCTTCCATGGAATGATTGCTGGTTTTTTAGCCGATATTAATAAAAAGGTGCAACATTTCTCCAACCTTGTTAATTATTTATTTGACAAATATGTACCCATAAGAAAATGGAAAATTAACAATAACAAGCAACCCTGGTTTACAAAAGAGGTGCTTAGGGCAATAAGGATTCGCAACAGAAGTTATTCGGTCTGGAAAAATGATCAATGCAATGAAAATTGGGTTGCTTTTAAAGTTCTACGTAATAA